TATGAAGGCTAGTTCCCCCGCTATGACATCAACTTCATTTACTAAAGTAAATGTTTCACGTGGAGTTGTCACTCCCACAAGAACTTTTGGAGCCGACGTATTCCGATCCCCTGATCAATGTTATCGATCCATTTCTTCTCAACTATAAGTAGCATTCAGACGGTATTCAAGAATTTGGATATGCATCTCAAGGCTGTTTTGCTAGATGGACAGGCTGATCATTTTAAGTAAACCCTAGATTCAAAATCAAGCGCAAATCTATTTTGATTCATACAAACCAACAGTTTTAAAAAACAAAAAAGTAATTCCACATTCACACAAAAGGTTGAAAGAATGCGATGGCTTCTGTGTTTTTGAAATTCAAACTTATGACAATGAAATTTTGTAATGAGAAAGCTAGAGGCGGTTCCGAATTTTGATTTGATGAAATAAGAGAGAATAGAATATGGGAATGAAAACACAACTGGCCTTTGATATCACGGTGGAGCTTTCCTTCACCATGCAGATAGGCTAGGCCCATGAGAACCTCGTGCAAAATGGTGGCGATATTGGGCTCATCAATCTTGACGGCCTTGCGAATCTCAAGAGCGGACCCACCACCCATGAACTCCATGATGATCCACAGCTTGGTCCCTTTGAGGTAGGAACCGTAATACTTGGTGATGTAGGGGCTATCGCACTGCGAGAGGATACTTATCTCTTGTTGTATGTCCTCCAACTCGTCCAATGCCTCCTCCAAGTCGATGCGTTTGATGGCGACTGGACGCAGAGTCCGCTTGTCTACGCCCTTGAAGACCTCGCCGAAGGCTCCTCGACCTATCCTCTCGTTTACGTCATACAACGTTTCTGGATCTACTTGCTATAGCGAAAGAGGGAAAATGAAAACATCGTAAATACATCAGAGGATCTTTGATAGACGGGAATACCCTGCACTACACATCAGCAGAATAGCAATGTCATGAGGCATTGCTAATCAATTGGCCTAAACTAGTTTTACCATTACAACTAGAGAAGCACTTAGAAACCCAATTAGAATGGGAGCATTCAATAATCTCATATCATGAAAGTAAGAAATAAACTTGGTAACCAACTGCGAATAGTCCCCTTCATTTTTGCTGCTCCGATAAAAAAGGTAGCAGGAAGTGGACGACAGTTCATACGTTCGACAGTATTTTCATTGACACGGCGTAAGACAGTGGCTCCGGACATGCACATGAATTAAAATGCAAACAAAATTGTGTCTTCGGAATAGTTCTTTTACAAGAGAAGACGATTTCAACTAAGAACCCCGTAGCTCAGTAAGTTAGGATTAACAACTGTTTACTTCACATCCAAATAAAAGTACACTTTTAAGAACAGTTACAGATCACGTTCAAATTGTAGGCCCGAACCCGCAGTGACGCAGATATCCATTGTTTGCAATGCCACTGTTATACACCTTAAAAAGTCGGAATCAACTATAAATTAAAGCTGTAATCCATTTTTATTTGGGCCAGGTATTACCCACGACAGCGACTTGTGATAAACTTTCGTTATTAAGCATTTCTTAACTCTCACCCTCATGGAAAATATTTGTCGTAGTTTAATGATAGGATCTCTTCTGCAGAGAGTAAGACCTAATTGCGGTTGTAACAAAAATTGGGGGTAAGGGCATGTATAACAAGGCTACAGAAAAGTAAGCACAGGAACGCGAGCACCCCATGGATTAAAATACTATATCATGTGATACAGTGGCTTTAGTGTGATAGGAAGTTGGAGTGATCTAGCCTTTACTTGATACAATCGAACTAAAGAGTCAATGATCCAAGAAATAAATTGGAAATATGGAGAGTCCTCAAGGAATATGGCTTGTAAATGTCCGCAAAAGCCAGCGACAAAGTCACTACGAAGGGTAACTTATGAGAGCGTGCCTTCGTCACAATATTTAAGAATTTATTTACAAAGGTTTCAAAAAACGATAAAAGGACCCTAGCATGAC